TCCCCTTCTGTATTTTATCTAGAGGTGGGGGTCACCAGCCAGGTGAGGCCGAAGGAGGGGTGCCCGTGTGTGTGTGTGCCTTCAGAGAGGGCGTCCCCACAAGCACCTCCATGCTCCTGCACAAATGATTTCCAAGTCCCAGCAGGCAATAAATCACACCCTTTCCATTTATAAATTTATACCTCCCAGTTCCAAAGTCCATGCTGGTCTCTGAATCACGGTGGGTTTGTCTGTGTTGGGTGGCACCCTGGTTGCTGGAATGGAATGAAGCTTTCACAAAGGAGTCACAAAGGTCGGAATGATTTTTTTCGTATTTTGGCTTAAAGAAGGAAGGGCTTTCTCCTTCCTTCAAGCTGCCCGAGTTCTGCTGTTCTTAAGGTGTCACGTCTTGCTGGCAGCGTCTGGCTTGACTTGTACACTTGTTGGCAGAGATACGGATTTATTTAAAGCAAGAGTAGCTGAAAAATGGGGGCCCTCCTAATGCATTTACTCTCTTAAGGAGCGACCCAAAGACTTAGGCAGCCGCCCTGGGCAGCAATAACTGCTGGAAGCAAACATTGTTATCACATCGAACCAAGACTTTGAATAAGCTTTTTGCTGACTGTAAAAATTCTTTCTCAGCCTATTTTTAGATTCATTTATTTCTTCTTCATCAGAGATCTATCTGACCCCTTATTTTGATTCCCGTCGCCTGCAGATTTATGGCGCCAAGGATGTAATTTGTGATTACAGTTTGAATTGGTTGTTACATAAAATAAATAAAACTTTAGAGTATTCTGGACTGAGGCTGATATCCTATGCACAACTTGCCCAGGAGAACGGAGTCCAGCTGAATGTAGCTAAATTTATTTCTAAGTAAAAAATAAGACTGAACTGCTTGTTCGTTGCCGACTTTGGGCCTAAAGAACATGAAGAGAGTGCGCAGCTTGGCTGACTGGGCCGTGGGTCTCGAGACACATTTCAATCTTCATTTTCAGCCCAACTGTTTTCACTGCCAGGCATCTCACGGCACCACCACCCGCCTCCACTTTGCATGCATGGTGTCACATGGCCTCCCTTTTTCCTGTGATCAAGAGATGCTCGGGGCAGCTCTTTCTAGAATTTGTCTTTTTTTAAAAATCCGTTGCTCTGGCACTTTGGACTATTTGATTTGTATAGAAACCGGGTCAGCCCAGGGGCCTAAGTGGGCAACCAGAATGTCTGATGGGAGAAGCCCAAAGCTGAGCAGGAGGGCGTAGGTCTGCCTTCTCTGCTTCTGGTCCTGGAGAACGGTCCTGAGAAGCATGGCGTCTCTGCCACTGGAGGCGGTGCTGAACAGCCAAGACTAACGGCTGCGGAGAGCTCTTGTGCTCCATGAAAAAGTCACAGACAAGGACTTAAGTGAGCCATCAGTAATTTTGTTCACAAAATGCACAAGAAAGCTACTCTGGTGCTTTCAATTCGGTTGCATGTGGCGAAAGGATTTAAAGAAATCCACACTGAATCGGATGACATCCAGTATAACGTGCTGTATTTAACAGTTAATAATGTTTAAATAGGGTAAATGCATGAAGGAACGAACGAGTTGCAGTCAAACATATAACACAAGAGCAACAGTCCAGCCCGTCTCTTAAAGGTATCAAGCTGGTGATGATTTTAAATAGATACATTTTCTTCTTCTTCAACTGTTATACATTGTGCTAAATGTTAACATTCTTTAAAGAAAAATGCCTGGAGGAAAAGGGACCCTCCGTCGCTTCTGTTAAAGGAAGTTGCAACTCAGGACAACATAAATGCGCGCGTGCGCGTACAGGGTATATTAGTCACATGCAGCTGAAACTCTGATGCAAAAGATTTTTGACCACATTTCCATGGGATTCAATATATAAAATGAAGTGTTTGATTTTGTTTGTGTTACTGGAAGGTCATAAACAGAAATGTAACAACCTCCATGTATAAATACTTACACATAAAAAACTGGTCCCGTATTTCCCAGAGACAGGAAAGAGGGAGACACAGAGCAAAAGAATACAGAAAGGGAAGCCTCCTTGAAGAACATGGGGGTGGGAGGGGCGGTCTGACTACTGAAATAAACATGGCAGTTAACACTGTGGCTGTATGTGAGGTTAGAGGGCCATGTGCTTGGTGGCCGCAGCCCAGGAAAATAGGGGAACACACACCCCCTGGTGTGGTGTTTGTTTGCCGAGCGAGAGTCTCTCCTTCTCCTGGGGGAAGGAGGCGTCTAGCCTGCTAGCTCAGTGCCCGGTCCCCTGGCATCGACAGGAGTCCACGAACAGGCCCTTCCCAAGAGGAGACGGCACAGTTGCACCATAATTCCACTCCAGTTCAGCTGAGAAGTCAGTAGCCCTTCACAGTTCAGGCGGCTGCAGGCGCCTTTCCTCCGGCCCACTCCCAAAGCCACGGCACAGCGTCCATCCACGCCGGCACATCGTTTTGGATCTCCTGCAAACCAGCGCAGGCCCAGACTGAGCAACGCCCTGGACTGAGGGGCCCAGAAGGCAAATTCTCCAGAGGCCCAGCGGTGCTTTGGTCTGCTTGTCCTTCAGGCTGCAGGGAGGCAAAGCCGCCCCCCCCCCCGGATCAGTTGGGAGGCAGGCCTGGGTCCGACGGCTGGGACGGCAGGCTGCTCCGGCCCCTCTCTCCGTGCCTGGACGAATACTCCAGGACTCTTGTAAACGGCGTGTAGTTCCTGATCGGCTTGGCGGCCTCGGAAGGTGGGCTGCTCTTTTCCTGACTGTATGGAATGAAAACCAGCAACACGAGACCTCAAGCGTCCACTCAAAATTGTTTGAGACACACACTGGATGGTTCTAAACCAGAGGTGGGAGTTCCAAGGACCACACGTGGTCACCTGTGTGGGTCATGGGGCCCTTCCTCACCCCCACCCCCCGTACTTTGCAAAGACCAGGAGACTCATGTCTCTGGAAGCCTTCAGAGAAAGGAACCCTTCTCTAAAACGAGGTGCTTGTGGCTGTCTCTTGTTTCAAAGAAACTTGAGTTTTTAAGGGCTCCCGGGAGAGCCGGAATGCAGCATGGAGCAGGAAGGTAGGTAGAAAACAGCCCCCCCCCCCGATGCTCCAAATTCACCCCTTCCACTCTAAACCCGAGTGAGCCCCTGGAGCAGCAGATTCTGATCCCTGACGCGAAGCTTGGGTCTGCTGAACTCCGAGTCACTTTCAAGAAAAGGGCATTAAAAAAAGGCTCGCTGGTCTCTTGCTAGCCTTTGGCAGGTGATTCGGTAGGGGGGAGCTTTTGCCCGCTTCCCACCGTACACCCCCTTCCTCTGGTTCAGGACCTCTCGGCTTTCCACAATCCACCAGCGATCATTAACTTTGATTTACTTATAAAAATTAATCAGGAAAAATAAAGAGCTCCATAAAGCTGAGCAGGGCAAAGGCCTCGGATAGGTTCCCCAGTGGCGCCCGTGAAGAGGCGTTTAGCACCTTCAGGGTCCCCGGGAAGAATCGCATAAACAGTTGCCATCGTGCTCGGAAACCCCATAACTTTCCCAATTACGCTTTGCCTCCGGGCGGAAACTCTGCAAGCCAGCGTTGTTTGGCTGTAATGTCAGGAGGGCAAAACCCTAATGGAGTCATTCTGCCAGGGCCTCTCGTTAAACTAATTTAGGAAAATGACTCGGTTTACAGGCCGCTAAGACTGAGGCATCTCTGGCAAGCCAAAATATAGCAAAATGATTACGCTTTATTGCTCATCGCCCTTCAAGGCTTTTTGTTTGACCTCTGAGGAGCAGAAGTTTGTCTGTGGGAAAGGACCAGTGGGTTTTTTTTTCCCTTCTTCTTCCTCCTCTGCCACCCAAAGACGGACATTTCTGGAATGCCCACAATGGGGTTTCTCTACACGCTCCTCCTCCCGGTCCAGGTAACTGGGGAGGTGGGTGAGGAAGAAGCGTGCCCCCCTCCCCACCCGAATGCCTTCAAACCCAGATACCTCAGTGGAAGGTCGCATCCTACACCAACGTCTCTCGTGTCCACATCAGGCCTTGATTGTGTTTCCATCAAATACTCCAGACGGTCTTGCAACTCTTTATTCTGAAACATATTTGACAGCAGGGCTTCTCAGAACACATGGTTCCAGTGTACGTCCCCCCCCCACTACCCCGCATGACGTTCGCCCCGTGGAAAGCAAGGCCCATCCACCAGTGCTGTACATAAAAGATGGGTCCCCTCCACTTTGAGACATCAAACAAACACAAATCTTTTCCTAATGTTTCCCCCCCACACACACACACAAACATTGTGTTTACGGTACCATGGCTCAGGAAGCCTCACGTGGCCATGGAGCCGAGGAAGGCCTTGGGGACGCCCACGCCCTGTGGAATGGTCTCCCCGCTGAAAACAGACAGGGGGGAAGGCGCCCCCCCCCAGTCCCGGGGATCTGAAAGGTCCCCGTTCCTGCTCTTGACCTGCAAGGATAAGCAGGTGTAGCAGATGTGGGGTGGATGGGCTCAGATAGGCACAGGATGTGGGGTGGATTGGCCTCCGCTTGGGGCCCCCACTCCAACCCACTGCTTCGCCCCGGGTCTTCCTGCCCGATTTCTGGCCCCACATGCCCCAGTGGCATGGAATGGGTGCCCTCTGAGCGCCTCCGCCATTGGCACTTCGAAGGCTGCATTCAAAGCTTAGAGGCAAGTCTGGCCCCATCAATTTCCACAGGAACCTTTACGGGCACGCACTCTGCCGGTCCTGGCCTTCTGTTTCCAGTCTTCTTCCTCTTTTCTTTCTTTCTTTCTTTCTGTCTTTCTTTCTTTCTGTCTTTCTTTCTTTCTGTCTTTCTTTCTTTCTGTCTTTCTTTCTTTCTGTCTTTCTTTCTTTCTTTCTTCCTCATGAATGGCTTCTGCTCTAGCATGAGAGTGGGTCGGAAGGGCCTGAGTCACACCACTGGCTTGACAGGCGTGATCACTATTTTGAATTGCTTCTTCTCTAGCATGAGAGCGGGCCGGAAGGGCCTGAGTCACGCCACTGGCTTGACAGGCGTGATCACTATTTTTATTCCCTGCTCCGAGGGTGCGCCGTCAAGGGACAGCTCCCCGTGGCAGCTGTGAGAAGGGCACACTGCCAGCCCAACCACCCCTTCCTCTCGCATGGAGGAAGGGGGGGCATCGAGGCCCCGAGGAGTCTCTTTCCCCACAAGCTACGCCTTGAAAAAGTTACCTTTTTCGGCTCCAACTCCCCGTGCTCTTACACCGATGCAAGCCTATCCCTGCACAAATGGGCTGCTACAAAGAAACCTACCAGGACAGCTGCTAAATATCTCTTCCTGGGCAGAAAAGAATGGGAGGCAGGTGTAGGGGGGTCCCAATTCTGCTGGGCTGCTCCCAGGCTGAAAGGTCCCCTTCGCTGGGCCAGATCCTGTGTGCTAGGCTTTGCCAGTGAGAACAAGGTGGAAAGCTGAGGGCTTTTCCCCCCCTGCCACCTTCCAGCATTGAGTCGTTCTGTGGTCTTCTGCCTCCCGACTCTCTCTGCCAACAGCGCAGGAAGAGAGAAATGACCTCCCCCTGTGCCTTTCCCTAGGCTCACCTTTGTGACTTACGAGAGCACGAGACAAATAAAAGCAACCAAGAGCAGTGTGGCACCCAAGAAAGGAGACTGATTTGGCGCCATAATTACCTGGCATCAGGTTCTGCAGCCTGCAATCCGAGGGAAGCTGATGCCAAGTGAAAATGGCTCATCTTGCAAGATGCCACCCAAACTGTCTGGCTGTTTTTGCTGCCATCAACCAACCTGGCTGCCCATTTCCAACAGACACGCCAGATAATATCCTGAGCACATTTTAAAACAACCACAACCACCCTGGAAAGTCGCCAAAATGCAGACTCGTCATCCAATTCGAACCGCAAAGCCAAAGAGCAAAAAAATGAAAAGCTCGCACGTAGCACCCACTGGAATTAATAAACTGAATGCAGGCTCGCTGGAATAAAAGAGGGTGGAGACCTCAGAGATAACGGATGGGCCAGGCATCTGCCGGCAGCCACATCTGGAACAGTCGGCTCATATCATACTTACTTCTCCTTCAAGGAAAGATATTTTTTCTAAAAGCTGTACTATAAACATCTCCTTTTCCTTCATCTTTCTCTTTTGTAGCTCAATCTAGGGAGAGAAGAAAGAAAAATCGTAAAGCTGGAGGAAAAAGAAGGATGGACAGACCTCCTATGTCAACAAGCAGGCAGGCTATCCTGAAATTAGGCTTTTACTTATCCACAGTGTGTTCCGGAGATTAAGCCAGATGTGCCTCCAGATGTTGCTGGAATCTAATACCCAATGGCTCCAGAGAGAGTGGCCAATGGCGGTGGATCATGGGAGTTGTAGTCTAGGCTCATCTGAGGGTCTCAGATTCAGGCTTAGAACATGAAACAGCTAATTTAACACTTTCAAGACCTCTTTATTTTGGTGACAGAATATAAACAGGTATTTTTTGTCAAGTTACAACATACAAATATGTAACAAGGAAGCAAAGAATTCATTTCAATATTCAAAAGACTAAATCATTAGAGAAATCCTGAAGCAAGCTGAATTCTAATTGTTTCAAAACACAGAATTGACACTAAAATTCCATAAAACGTTAAAGCAGCCAAACTGCATTCACAGAGAATAGCCAAGAGGAAGAAACCGACTTCCAAAAAGCCTTCAGAACCAGTGGCACTGGGTGGGGGGGGAGATGACTTTTTTCCTGAATTAATGTTCCCAGAATCCCCCACCCAGCCTGGCCTTGGGAAGAGGGGGGGGTAATCTCCTTGCTTTTCCAAGCGGGTAGAGATAGGAAGGCTTTTCTTTACCCTTTGTTGAAAGGGAGAAAGGCAAGAGGACAGGCAAGCAGGCTTCTCTGGGGCAGGGACCCCTGCAACGTGGAGATAAATCCTGGAGAAGGCTCTCCTTTCCTACCCCTTTTGGGTGCTGGAGGGCACACGGGAAGCCCAGGGATACCTTCTTTACGAAATTGTTGCCTGACACTTGGCTACCCTTCTTCAATGATTGTTTTTGGCATAACAGGACCAACGAGGATGTCCTCCTTCCGGAGAGACTGAAGGCACACCTTCCATCCGTTCTGCTGGCGCTGAGCAGAGAGAGATGCCTAGCCAGTGCCTGGACAGAAGAGCAGCCAAGAAGCTCATGTTCCCCAGCCTGCGTTCCACCTGGAAAGAAAGGTGGAGCCTCCACGTGGAGCCAAACATCCTGGACAGGTGTGAAGCCCTTTCGAGCCTAAGGCACCTTTGGGGCCGGTGGGCGAGGGCCGACTTCTACGCAGACTGCTCTGTTCTCCCTGGGGGAGGGGGGGTAAGGACAGATGTGATCCAAGAAAATGTGCTCAGGGTTACAGATCACACCCCACGCTTGGACAAATTGCTTGCTAGCATCAAACACTGTGTAAGGACAGATGTGATCCAAGGAAATGTGCTCAGGGTTATAGATCGCACCCCACGCTTGGACAAACAAATTGCTTGCTAGCATCAAACACTGTGCAAGTTCCATAACCTCTCCCTTTCGTTAGGAGAGCATTTCCTTCTTTCTTTGCTGCCGTTGCAAATATGGTCTTGCCGTTATTTGTGCAGCAGTAGCCACCGGCTGCCAAGGGAAAACGAAGGTACGGAGACAATGAATCATGGAGGAGGCAGGAGAGCGGGCCCAGATCAGCCGGAGGGCTGGCTCAAGACCTTCTCAGGGCCTGTAGAGCCGGTTGGATGAAGGATTCCAAGGGTCCCCAGCTTCCTGTTTGTGCAGGAAATCGACAGCGACAGCATCTGACAGGTGGACACGTGTTCAGACATGACCCTTGTGACTCACTGCCACTTTGGAGCGGTGACAAAATATGGGCTACGTGTTTCAAAACCAACTTGGGGCACAACCCACTAGGTTGGGTCTCCTACAGAAGCCACACACGGAAATGGAGCGGGGCAAAGCACTCCAAGGCCACTGCTCTGATTTTGTGGCTTCGGTGATTTTCAGCTGAACCTATACTAGATATAACACATGGGTGGACTGATACTTAAGGTTCAGTTATGTTGAGTCATTTATTTATTTTTGAAAGCTCCCTGATGTTGAAAATTAGCTGGGGCAGAGGAAAAGTGGCATTCTAAGGAAGGAGTTAAGGAAGGAACAGATGCTATTGTTGCTGCCTCGGGAACGTGTGTCTCTCTCTCTGTGTGTGTGAGAGAGAGAAAAATTATGTTTGCAGACCCAGGGGAATGACAGGAGCGCCTCAAGACACGAGTGGGAGGCTGCTCATCTGGATCCACCAGCAGCAAAGGAAATGACACTCTCACGAGGATTTGAAGGAGGGAACCAAACAGGATACTGTTGGGACGAAACATACCAGGATAGGTCTGGAAAACCATAACATGAATGAGTAGATGGCAATTATCTTCTTCCATTTAGGCTAATAGCAGCCCCGGAGTAGCACACGCAGAGTTTCCTGGTTCATTACTAGTCAGCAAAGTCACCATGTTGCTTGTTTGTTGACTCAATCAATGCACATCCCGTTTCATGAAGGGACTTGGCAAAACGGCTCACCATCGCGCACCAGATGTGTTTGCTGTTGAAGAGCATGAATGAGGAGCACAGAAAAGTCCAGTCCAGAGCCCAGGAGGGGAAGTGGCAAGCTGAGCATGGCATCAGAAAAGAGGTCTCTTGCCTTGCCAAGGGAACACCCAGGTTCAGAACAAGGGAGACGAGATTATAGCCCACGAGAGCCACAGCCGGGGAGCTCGATCAAGGTGAAACCAATGGAAAATGGAGGCTTTGCAACAGGGTGTCCGATAACCTGGGAGCGCAGAGGCTGCCTGGGACCCTGTTGGGCATGGTTTGCCAAACAGGCAGCCTTCTCCTCCTCCTCGTTCCATCGAAGGGAACTCGGTTTCCTACGCACTTTATATGCCATCTGCCACTCATATGGGATGTGAAGCAATGCAAAATGTGCTCCTATAACATTCTTCGTTTGGGCAAATAAATCCAGCAACGGGGGCCCTGAGCCAAAGAAAATCACCATAAACAGCTTTTATGATGGTACTGTAAGAAAACGATTGGAAAAAGATCCAGAGCCCTATAAATGGGAATTTTCTATAAAGCATACACTCAATGGAGCAGATTTCTGAATGGCTCTCGCCTTTGGTTATAAAATATTTCAAACTTAAAAAAAAAAGAAAAGAAAATGAAAATTATTGCAAAGGGGCAATTTCTTTTAATGAATTCATGAGAAAAAGTTCGTGCCTTACTCCAAATAAAACTGGTTCCCTTCTAATTCTGTCATGGTGCTATATATCCGCGTGCATTAAAAATGGTTTTACATTGTTTTGATTACATGGCTGGTCTTTTAAAATAAAATATTTAATTATTCAGTACATTGTTTATGTATAAGAAGAATGTCTGCACCAAATAATCAGCCAAAAGAAAGCTGTAACAGGGACAGGATGAGGTTTTCAGGCATGGAGGGGACAGGCTGCCCCGGAAGGCGACAGACTCTCCTCCCGAGAAGGGCTTCTTTAAGAAGGGAGAGCAGCGGGCCACCTGTCAGAGGTGCTTTTACCTGTGGATTTTCTGCTCTCTGCAGCACCCGGGTGCCCCTTCCAGCTCTGCAGTTCTATAATTCTGTGACAAAACATTTCTCAAGCAGAAGATTCTGCTGGCACTCCTCTGCCCAAAGGAAATCCCGGCTCATCTTCTTTGCTGAGGTCTTGTGGAAGACCAGGGAATGAGGTGCCACGTGCTATAAAACACACAACACATTTCCAGAGGGGGACCTGCGTTTGTCTGTTGCAGCAAAAAGCCACCGAGGGTCTTTCGGCACCACAAAAACAAACAAGTTATGAGCCAGAAGAATATTTCTCACCCTGTACAATTTACTTTCAATGGGGGCAGGGGGGCTGTGCAAAAAAACGGGACCCATCAAATCTAGTCACTGGGACAGAGATTATTGGGTGGGCAGATACTATTTGGACTCAAAAGCCCATCAAGAGGAGACACGATGGCTAATGATGCTCGAAGAATGTCTGTAGGGATTCAAGTTCGCAGTTCCTCGTCTGAGCGACTGTGAAGGCGGGCTAAGGAAGATTGCATCTCAGGGCAGGATCAGGCATGACAGATCATCCACCACTACAGCTGAAAGCACAGAAATGCTGGAAGGATGTGATTCAGGCAGACTTTTCTGTTTGAGGAATCAAGACTTCCAAGGAATCTCTGCTTATGTTCTGAACAAGAGGCTAATTTGAAAACCGAGAGAAGCTCCTGCTGGGATGGGCAGGCCCCCCGTCTGCTCTGAAATGTCCTTCTTCCAAAGACCGGCTGCCTGTAGCCATCTTTCTGCCTTCCGTCTCAACAACCCAATTATGACAGGGGGTGGGGATGGGGGAGCAGCACCAAGGCCACCATTAAACAGTGAGCTATATCTGGTTTCAAATTATTATAAAACATTTTATTAAAATAAACACATATCCAATGCAAACAAACATGTTATTTAACGAAATGATGCTACATTGTAGTACAGTACTTTTGCACAATCTTAACACTGCATAAAATTAAAAGTGCACTGGTTGGTAAGGTCACTACCTCATCTTTGTCTTGTTTATTTGATAACTTGTGTGTGTTTTTTTTTCTTAAAGTCATATTAAATCTTACAAAGTTTACAGGGCTTTACACTTTGCAAGAGCAATTCAAGTACACCAGAAAGCCAGTCCCTTAATCCCACAGCCCATCGACCAAAGGGACCTAAATCCCACTGCCGCTCCCAATCAAAGTACACCCACCGAATCCACTGCTGGCCAGTTAAGTCAAGAGTTACACAAAAACCCCACTGGATGCATCTACTTTAGATCGGACGACCGCTTGGGTTCAAGTAGCCCAGGCTACGTTTAAGCTGCCTCTTCAAGAATCAACATTGGTCCTCGCAAGAGAGGCGTTGCTCGGGTGTCTGGGTTCCAGAGAGGCTCTGCCGGTTTCAAACTATTCATCATCAGCACTCATGGTCTGCTGTCGGCAATCCACGAGACGTCCAGGGGCCCCAAGCAGACATCACAATACTTTATGAAACAGGGCTCAGATTCATAAGGGCATGGAAACGAATAGGAACATGCAACAGCTGGGGAAATGTCCAGGAAAAGGGAGGTGTGCCAGCAGAGTGATGTATGAAACTGTGTTGCTTAAAAATAAGCAACCACCAAAACTAGCATCAAAGACATGGGATGGCTCTTGGCCCTGGCCTCCCTTCTCAGCCTCGCTTCTCTCCCCGCTTGCTCCATCCACCTGACCGGCATGGCCATACTTCCTCACGATTTCCCTTCCAGCCCCTCCAGCTGCCAAATGCCTCTCTCCTCTGGGTAGCTGCCCCTCCTTGACTTTTCTCTACCATCAGAAGCCTTTCTCCAGCATGTTGTTCATGTAATGTTTTTGTCTACCTCCGTCTGGGACTTTCAGGAGTTAGGAAGCAATGGCCTCTATCAAAACAAAGGTGCGCCAACCCTGACAAACCAACCTATTTCTCACTGCGAGGACCGCAGAGGCTTTATACCAACTCAGTGCCCTTGGGCTTTCTTCCCTGGGCGCTGTCTGTCCTCTGGCAGGGAGGCAGACAGGGACGTTCTCCAGGTTGGTTTACCCAGACCATTTTAACTAGAGAGATGCTTGCAGAGATTCAGCCCGGGACCTTTGGCAGTCAAAGCCGGCATCCTACCACGAAGCCAAAGCCCTGCTCCAAATGGTTAATCAGACACCAGAAATGCAAAGGCTTCCAAATATATGCACAGAGACAGACAGAGCATCATTAGATTAATACAGAACGGACAAGATTCCCCCGAGCATCGGCGATACATATAGACCCTAGATGGATTTTCAGTCCACAGCAAGGACCCTAAATAATTTCACTTGTTATGGATCCCATTAAAACAAAGGATAATATAAAATTAAACTTTATCAAACTGGAGCCGATTACCCCTGTTCGAAAGCTGTGTGGATTCTGCCTCAGTCTTTCCCCAAGAGACCCACAGAAAAGTACCGTCGCCTAAGCGTCCCCATCAAGATTTAGGGCTAGAATTTATCTCCCTCTTATGCCATTTGAAAATTCCAGGCTATCTACGCTACATAAACTTTCAGCAAAATTGTATTGCACTCAGTTGTTTTACAAATACTATATTTCCTGAGATCTTTATTGCTGTACCGCAAGTGCTTAACTAATAAGTCTTGGATAATGTATCCCACAAGCCTTGGGATTTGAAGGAGCAGCCAGGGTCCTTTCAGAGAGCAGGGCACAGATGTTCTTGTCAGCTGCATGTGCTCTGAACGAAGGAACGTCTCTCCCGCAAGGGATTGCAGGTAGCATAACCTTTTCTCAGCATCCGTAAAGGTCCCGTTTAGGGTGCGTTTCTTAGCTCTAGCCAAACGTTGTGCCTTGTATCCAAAGCTTCTCTGCCACCCTGCCTTCTTTCCCCGTCATTCAATCCTGCGCGTAAGGATCTTTGCTGATCTAAAAGACAGGCAGACAGGCCACAGCCTGCGATGCCCAAGTTTCTCAGAGCAAAGCAGGTCATCGGCATGCTCTCTGTCGCTGGATTTCCGGAGGAGGAAAGTCCTGCCGCACTGGATTTTCTAAGGAAGCCCCAGGTACCCAGGCTTAGCAGAGCAGCTTTAGAGAACAGCTCCAAGAACATGTCTGGCCAGCAGTTGTGTCCATGTTATTTTTCTCCATCGGTGAAGAATCCAGTCTCTTTTGCTTCCTGAGGGCCACCACTTATCTTCCAATGAATCTGAGACTAAATGTGGAGAACAGCTCATGGGCCATGACCTAGAGACAGTTCAATCGAGCTCATTAGAGGAATGCCACCCGACAGACAGTGAGACTCTGCAAATAAAGGCTCTATCAAGGAGGTCAATCATTCTCCCTCTTGTCAGGCCCTCTGCTGCAAATCCTCCTCCACTAACCAGCCTGGCTTCTTCAGAGGGCCTCTCCTGGACCGAGACCTCAAAAGGGACGGGCGACAGAGCAAGGGATTAAACTGTTCTCCATCACCAGCAAACGGCTGGCCTTGGTTTCGCTCCTCTGCTTCTCACTAAACCGCTTTGTTAGTACGATACAGATACAATCCTTTTGCTGTTTAGTCAAATTATCTTGATCCTGATGTTTGATTTTCCCCTAATATAACTGGGTGGCTGCTGGTGCACCCAAATGGATCTATTTCCCAAAGCACGGCAAAGGAGCTGCTCTGTCTCCTTCTCTCGCAGGGGCCTGGGAGGGGTGTGCGTGTGTGTGAGAGAGAGAGAGACAGAGTCGGTCCCTGGGCTCATCCAGAGCCACTGCTCCTCTCCCACATCTTTCCTCTTCTCTTTGGCAAATAGGCAGGTCTATAACCCACCGACTGGCATGCAAATATCCTACAAAGCCATCTCTGAACCAGGCTCGGCAGACCAACCACGTGAGGGAAGAAAACAGTACGTGTGGTTTGGAAGTTAATTTCCCTCGTCTGCCCCTCCACACGCCGGCCAATCGAATTATGCTCCAAACATAATTTGATCAGAAAGCAAGGAGGCAACCGTAGGCTTTGGCTCCTTATTCTAAGCCTGAAAATAATAGGTTATATTAATCACTTCTTTTTCCCTTCTTGCGCCATTGTTTTCTTTCACAAACATCCGGTCTGGGAGCTGGATGTGGGAAGGAGCTTTGATCCCACATCCTGCAGCATCGGGGAGCCATTGTCTGCTCTTTGCACAAGGGGAAAGTTGCTTCTATTGGTGCAGAAGAAAAAGGCTGCACCTCACCAGAAAACACAGGACTAAGCTAGCATGGTGCTGAGGTATCAGGACCCTGTTCTGATGCTGCTTCAGCAGCATGACGAGTACTTGGGGGTCACTTCCTGCAGCACTCGAATCGCGCTTGAACTAGGGAGAGCCAGGTGGATGGGATGGAACAAGGTCTTCCCCCTGCCCTGGGGCTACACGGGGCAGGAGAGATCAATCCTGGCCTTGGATAGGACTGTCCTCCTCACAGGCAGTGTTTCTGCTCCAAGCATTACAGGAGTGATGGAGGAAAGCAACCGGAAGAAGCATCCGTTGCATTGCTACAACGGTACAGAGATGGGGTTCGGCTATTCCTTGAAATGAAATATCACAAAGAGAAGGCTGGTTTAAAAACGACGTTCAGGCAAGATCAGACCCTCCTGTTCCTATTCCAGCTTGCCCGTTCAGACGTACGACTGTTTCTTGTCTTGCTTGGCAAGGGCTGCAGCTGACGGATCCCGTTCCATCTCTGTGCTATATTTAATCCTTTGTTTTGGACAGTAACGGTCTCATAACATCAGCTGAGATTTTATACATAAACTTGTTCCTTTAAATTTGTTTTTCAGCCTTGTCATCTGTTGCTTCCTCTTAATTATGAATTACACATTTATGGCAGGGTACAAACACTAAGTCAGCACTATTACTCAACATAAACACAAGCTTGCTATAAAGCTAATGTTGCCCAATGTTTTTTTAAAAGACACAGACGTGCAAAGATGTGAAACCAAGAGAACGAACCCCAGAGATAATATCTTGAAATCAGCAGATAAAGTTTGTTACGACATCAGAAGCCAAGGTCTTGAATGCAACAGTGAAATCATTTTGAAAATCTGGGACCGGATTCAGCAGACCAGTGAATCAGGGGATACCATCTCACTGACAGCCAAGATCTTTGCGACGGTTCATTCTGTATTTCAGGATTTATTCCAAGGAGAAACCATGGGGTTTTTGACACTTCTTTACCCACATCCTTTACTTTCAACCATTAGAATACCAAGTAAGTTTTGGTTTTATAAACCACTAAATAAATTTAGAGGAAGTTGGCATAGTAAAACATATGTTTTCAGTGGGAGGGAGCATATAACAAAATTTTGGGAGGCTGGAGATGAAAATAAAGAAGCCTCTAAAACAGGAACCAAAGGGAGGTGAGAAAGTGAATTTGCATATACCTAGCCACAATAGTATTTTTAAATATAACAGACAACAGGTTTAGAAAATGGACAAACAGAACAAGCTAGCAGATGGGCTGCGCTTCTCTTCCTACACCATCAGAAAACATTAGGAGGCAGTTCCAGTCACCAGAAATGACAAATCAGGAAAGGCACTTTATATTTCCAGTTACCAGGCCAATCAAAATAACTGGTGAGACTTTTAGAAAGATCAAAATTTGATCACATATGATTTTTCTTCTAATTCTGACGTGTTTCATAGAACCTGCTGTCCTCAATCCAACCCCACGTGTTACGGTTCAGAACACACTATTTCTTCACAAGGCGTTTTTGGAAGGTTTGTTTTGAACTTCCTCTGCAAGATGTTAAGATCTTTTGACAGGCTGTTTCCAATCTTTGTCCTCAGACTATCCTGACGGCAGCATCCCCCCCTCCCCCCCCTGTTGCGCAGAACCCCCGAGAGCCTCAACTTACCTCCTCAACCATGTGCTTGACTTTCTTCTGTTGGCAAAGAACCATGTCGTCGAGGTGTTTGATGCGTTCCCGCAAATTAGCTGTAACTTCCTCCAGTTCAGACGACCTGAAACCAAAAGATGTAAGCATTACATACGAGAGAGTGTGCGCGCAAGCCTTCTGCGTCAGAATACCTCCCCTTCCCAAACAACTTGCCCAGTTTGCTGAGAAAAATAGCATCACTGACAAAAACAAATCAGAGACAAACGGAAATGTGCAGGTCTCTCTCTACTGCATGCACTGGTTCTCGATGTTCCAACCGCCCGCCACCCAGCTCCTTTCGTTTTTATCATGAATCGACTTTTCCCACAACACCCTCCTCTCCTTCCGCCCCCGCCCAGGGAAACTACGTCAAAGTGGAGACTACCTGGCACGGGTGGAGACAGGGGCCCAAATCCTTTTGCAACCAGGCAACAGAAACTACAACGGGACCTGCAGTCAGTCACGCCACTGGGTGCTAGACGGGTAGCTGACCAGTTTGGGAAGACCACATAGTGGAGCAAGCAGTATTTTGCAACAGGATTCTGGCCCCTGAGAAGTTACTTAACTGAATATCATTATGGAAGGGATAGTTTCAATGGAGCTGTCTGGACACTCCAGGAATTGTATATCTGGCTAGAGGTCATTAAGTCGTCCAGCCCCAGGGCAAATAGGGCAGGACCAGAGAGCTCCCAAAAGAACAGACGGGTAAGCAGCTGCGGAGCACTCTGTAGCTTGAAACCCCTGGATAGGGCTGCCCTATGTTAGAATGGACTCGGTGGCGTGGAGTCTGTTACCTCGCCTTTTATGTTGGACTACAAGGCTTTAACTTTGATGTAAAAATAACCCACAATGTGGAAACATCAATTTGGTATTTGTTCTTATTCTTGATTACAGTTACCACAATCCTACCAGTCATGCTGGCTGGGGAATTCTAAAAGTGTGTGTGTGTGGGGGGGGGGAAGCAAAGCAAAGGAAAACAAAGGGGAAAGGGGGGGAGCCTTCTTCTCTAAACAGAAGCTCAGAAATGCGCATTATCTCTGTTATTCACATCATTTAGTTCCAACCACATTTTGTTCACACGTCTCGACAAAACAAATATAAAGCAGTGTTTGATTGCATACCCTTTTAAAGCTAAAAACAGACACACACCCCCATATATTAAAACAGTGCTGGAATGTGTTTTTTTTTATTAAAAAAACCTGTGTATTATAACTGAAAGCTCACTTTTAAGCAGAAATAGGGAAATTATATCAGGGCCAATAATCGTAGAAGAGGCAGGAGCTCACCTCCGGCTGCCCGCCCGGCTGTGAAGGTTCGCTCCATGCAATTGCATTTCATACTCTATGAGTTGTTTTTGCAGGTGACGGCGTTCCTGTGCAGGAATAAACGTAGGTACATAGGTTTTTCAGTCATTAGAGCTGAGCTACAAAATAACGCATCTCGCTTAGGATGTGCGTCATATTAACCATTTCGAACCAAAGGATAACGTTTCAAGTGGCCCCGCAGAAATAAGCAGGAGTCAAAGGCCTACAGATTATTGAAGTCCCTTAACAGCAACCCAACCGAAGGTCCAAGCCACACAAACATTTTTGCCCATCGACTCTGCATTTCCATTGCTGAAGAAATGGGACTTGATCCATGAAAGCTTACATGAAAATAGGTCCGCCTTTCATGTGCCAGAGTGTTTTTGTCTCCTGGCTGAGTTTTGTTCTGATGCCTGAACTCCTCTTTAATGCCAGGTCTGGAAAACCAGAACTTGAACTTGGAAGGAGGACGTATACAGAGACCAGTGATAAAGTCAATCGGAAAAAGCTATTTGCAGCTGCAAAACGTTTAAGGACGCCAGCCTGGATGACATCGCACAGAACAGATAAAACATTTCAGTAACAAAAAAGCACCCCTTTGGCTTCTGTAAATAATTGGACTGGCTTTCTTGGGATTCGGCAAACCTGGCGACAGGCACAGGGGGCTGCTGTTCGGAAACCCGGTAAAGAACATCCAAAATGTCAGGCAATATTCACTATGTTGACGTCTTTATAAAGCCTGGGAAAACCAGATTCTTTGCTGTTTCAGTAGTGGGACCACTCCTCGTGGTCCACAAAAGGTGGCTTTAAACCACGGGACAACATTGGACTGCCTTTCACATAGCACACCAAGGCGAGCTTTGAAACCCAGGAAGATCACGAGGTTCGCCTTTGCTGGCCTCTCAGCCGCCAACGACTTGGATCATCCTCAAGGACTGCCAGAAAACCGAGGGATCCCCCACAAACGTTGCATCCTATTGGGACAATGTTTTTTCCCCCGCAGATCCTGCAGCCCCATCAAGCAGGCGAAGTGCCGCGTGCCGAAAAGGCCTGCGGAAGTCTTTATCCCGCTCCGCCGGGGCCTTCCTCTTCCCACGGGCACCACGGAGCGTCTTGTGGCATCGCAAAGGCCAACGGGGACATGCTTCCCCGGTTTGAGCAAGCCACGTCTTCAACTGCCTCTGATGAGCAACTCACATGAGCCACGTTGGCCTCCCCTAACCCTTCCCCATCATATGGACGCAAGAAGAACATCAGCACTGAGAGGGTCACTGAATGCCAAACACCAAAGCAGCATTTAAGGACAGGAAAGGCCAGCTGTCAGCTTTTTGGAATTTTTGGTACACATCAAATTCACAGTCAATTCTTGTTCATTACGCCGAGGGAACCACAATTCTGACTGATTTCACTGGGGTAAAATCCGTGAAAAGAAAGACAAACGGCCGGGCGAGGCCAGAGACACCAGGAAGAGAGAGAGAGAGAAAGGAGCTGCCACAACCTGTTCCACGGCAGCGCTCTTGGTCTCCCTGGGGGTGCGTGGATGAGGCCCCTGAGAGACTCCCGCCTTCTCGGAAGTCTAGTTGAGTTTGCCAGGTGACATCAAGTCGGAACTGAGCTACAGCAACCCCTAATAATGAGCTTAGGATCTTAGACTAGCAGAGCAGGAAGGGGACCTTGTGGATCACAGGGATGTTGAGGAACGTGAGCTATTTAAGGAGTGGTTTTAACAGCCCTGCCCTGCCCCTGTCCAGGACATGTTCATGGCTGAGCGGGGATGTGGAACCCAGGCCTTCTGGGTCTTTGTCCGTGACTCTACCCAAAACACCACACTGGGTATCTGCAGCTGAGTAGCCCAGATTGTTAGAACAAAACACAACACAGCACCACCCTTTGGTCTGCTGAGCAGTGGCCCTGTGATAGCAGAAGCAAAAAGGGGGTTCCATGCCACCCCCCCTCAATGGCCAGAGGACGATGGTCCATGGACCTTCTGCTTCCTTAGGAAGAACCCCACAGCCAGGCGAGGGCCATCCTGGACCCAGGTGAATCCGCCCAATGAGTCAACCGCCCCAGAGAGCCAGCTTCCCCCTCAAGGCCAGGAGCAGCAAAAAGATGCTCTTGCAGAGGGCCCAGAGTGTAGTTTGTCGCATGAGGGGCACAATCTTCACAGACCTCGTGCAAGGAAGCGTCCAGGATAACCCTGCGTGAATGGGAGCCCTCTTAGCCTCAAGGGATGATCTCTGCCTTATGCGAGGGAGACCAGGCTGAGCGTGACATGCCACTCCATGGGGGGTCTGCTCAAAGGCATTACCTGAGCAGCTGGAGGCGGAGCAACTTTACGAAGACCATTTCCCTGACAACAAGCTGCAAATTAAACGCAATGTAAGCCGGTGGAAAGTGATGCCTATTGGGCCGAACAATCCCTGATTCACAGAGCGATGAGGTCTGAGCTGGCCGAGAAATTTCAGAACCCTGGTGGGCAACTCAGCGCTGTCTCAGAATGCGGCCGATGTAAAAAGAAAGGTAAATACAGGTGTTCTGTCCCAGATGGGCTTTAGGTTACCGGCTGACCTCTTCCATGCGTCGAATGAACCGGTCCAGCTCCCCAATCCTTTGGTCTTTCTCTTGCAAACTCATCTCTGTCAGCTTCATCTTCTTATTGGCCTCTTCGATGGCAGCAAGGAGCCTGTTGGTTTCAGACTGCAAGGAAGAAGCACATAACAACGGGCCACCTCAATGGACCGAGTACGTCTCAGGCGAGGATCACATTCTGCACTTCTGAAAGGGAGACGCCTCTCTGTAGTGGCGCTCCCAACTTTAAAACGCCCTCTCAATGGATTAAAAGATGGCAGAGAAGCTGCTTGGCTTCTGGGGTCAAATCAAAATGTTCTTTTTTGTTCCATTTCAAACTTACATGCATATATTTAACTTTAGCTGTTCACTGGTTGAATCTTTCTGTTCCATTTCAAACTTACATGCATATACAGTATTTAACTTTAGCTGTTCACTGGTTGAATGGCTTGATTGCCTCTTTCTTTCCTTCTATGGTTGGAATATTACTGATTTCTTTTAAAAAGAATATATACCTGTCCCGAGACCCTTTGCCAAGGAAGGGCAGTTTATCAATTTTAAAAACAACCAACCAAGCAAAAAACAATGTTCATAAGCAGACGAAGCCGCAGAACATGGTCTCTCTTTCCTTCCCATCCCACTGTCTAGAAGGTTCCCCAGTTATGGCGGATTGTGACCACCGGGTTCAACCTGCATTGTTATCGTCTCCCCATCATGTTTTTAATGTTGCAATTTTTGACTTAACACATAAAGTTTACTCATCACTTCACAACATTCTTCTTTAATTTGTTTTTGCTGGTGAGTGGCATGTAACTAATGATTGTGATTATTTTTTTTAAAACGGAGGTCAACAGGCTAGCTTTTAAAGGGATATTTCCAAGCTCTGATTTGTTTGTTTCCCGCCCCCCCCATCTCAAGGTCCAACGGCTGAGCCAGGTGCAAGACGGCAGATCCAGGCAGGGAGGGACCAGAAGGAGAAGGGTGGCTTGAGGGTGTTGGGCCAACGGCCCCGTCCCCATCCCCATCGGCTAGTCATTGGGGTGGACGCCACTCATCAGGAAAAACAGGCCTTCCAGTTACGAGGCATCAGGGGTTTTCTCATTCCGAAGTCTAGCAAAGGCCAACAGAGACAGATGGCAAAGTATCCCATATTAACTGGGTTTTTGTTTTATAGGTGGGGAACATTTGGGTGGAAAGAGAGGAGCAATGGGCACGAGGCTAGCAACCGCATAGAATTTATATTATCAGCAGTTGTGTTGTAATTATCACCATTAAACTATCAAGAGTCAGAAGCTACAGCAGAACAGATAGTACGTCTCCTAGTAATCAACCCTTCGAATCTGATGTCCTTTCTGTTAAAGTCTGCTTTAAGGAATAATCCTCAAAATTCTGCCTCCCCACCCCCCACCCCCAGGCTCGCTAAGAAGGCCCAACACAGCCAAATAATCCTCAAAATTCTGCCTCTCCCCCCCACACACACACACTCTAGGCTCGCTAAGAAGGCCCAACACAGCCAAAATGGTCCACGTACTATTAAGGTTTCTTTCTCAAGTTTATGCTTCTGCTCTTCCTCTCGTAGTTTTTCCTCATATTGACTATAGAGTTTTCTGGTCATTTCTCTCATGACTTCTGCATTTGCTTGCTGCGAACATTCAACCTACAAAAAGAATTACGGACACTTTTCAAAATCCAATGAAAAACAAGAAGTAACACAGAAAAGGAGACGAAAGATAACAATGCCCGTGTGAGAGAGAAAACCAGTATTATTCTCTCAACCAGCCCGGCTGGCTGTGGAGGCCGATGACCTTTCAGTGTCTCGGGCAGAGAGTCCAAAGGGAACCTTCTTCCAGGGATCAACCCGGAAGCAAAACATAAACCCCTGGCCAGTACGTTCTCCCAAGTAAGCCCTCCCACAAGCTCATGGCCATTTCAAGAAGGCTGTCTAAGGGGAAAGCTCTCTTATGCATCATTTTAGGACTATACTCTGTGTTGATTAGCGCAAGGGGAATCTGAGAGCAAGGGGGTTCGCTGGGCAGTCCAACGAGACCACCTAACTGGAGAGAGACAACATCCCCTTTGATTCACCAATATAGTTTGTGTCCACTTTTATAAAGTAGTGGTTGTGCACATGCAATTGCAAACCACTTTCCCAGCATGATTCAACATCACAGGGTTGGACCCAATCAGATCCTTGGCAAATGCACATGCAATTGCAGACCACTTTCCCAGCATGATTCAACATCACAGAGCAATCAGCAAAGTGCTTTAGCTCAGTCAGTGCAATATGAAAATCCCAATACTAAGAAAAGAAAACAAGACAAAACAGAGCAACACACACACTGTCTTCTCACTGTAGAGGATTTGTGCATTCTTTCTATGTAAAAGCACATAAAAATCAAGAAGGTCCTCAATCTATCCTCCGACAACCTACACAGCTCTTCCCCCGGCCACGTGAGAGTTGTATTGGAGATTGGCACCCCCCACACACACACACACACCGTGCAAAAAAAGCAATAGTTCTTTCCTCTCATCCTCATTCATGGAAATATCTCCATTTGTTGCACTTCTCTCATCAGAAGAGTGGAAGAGGAGCTGAGGCGGACGGTCCTTGAAGCAGGACCATCCGACACAGAGAGGGGAGAAAGCAGCTTTCTCTCATCTTGGGGGAGCCGGAGATGCTCATGGGAGACACAACGCTTCCTGCAGGATGCACAGCCCTCTGAAAGGGTCCCGTTTTTGGCACGGCTAAGATTTACTGGATGGTGGTCCTTGGGTAAAGGAGAGAACCCGAAACCTTTCTGTCACAAGTCTAACATCCTTCCTTCCTTCCAGCTCACTGAAGCAGAGCAAGGAATACAACGCATTGTTGCAAAACTAAAACCTTCTGGACACACCTCTTGATCATGAGTACCTGGCTTGTCAGCTAAGGCACTTGGAGAAACTGAACAAATGTGTATGGAAGCTGCAAAACAAACTCGGTCCACGGAAAGTTCACTGAAGCAGAGCAAGGAATACGACGCATTGTTCCAAAACTGAAACCTTCTGGACACACCTCTTGATCGTGAGTACCTGGCTCTGTCAGCGAAGGCACTCGGAGAAACTGAACAAATGTGTATGGAAGCTGCAAAACAAACTCGGTCCACGGAAAGGGGCACATTCTGCTGTTGCGCCCTGCCTAGTCAACCCATCCTGAAGCCTAGGTCCACAGATGAATAATAACCACTCAAGTGTTTTGGAAAGACTGGTGTGTTCCACTCCTAACTGTGGGAGGTGCTGCCATTTTCTCTTCCCAAGGCCGTCAGCCGGATCCTTTGCCATAACCCAAGTCACCAAGCTGCCTCTTGGCCCACCTTGAGTCGGAGAAGCTCGTTTTCAACCCTCGCCGTCTCCAGCTGCTTTTGTTTTTCCTTCAGTTTTTCCATAGACTCTTCGTGTGTTTGTTTTAAACTTTTTATCTGATCTCGTATAGCTGTGTTCTCTAAAGTTACATCAACCAACGTTTTCTGTGGACATAGGCAATGAGAAATAAAATTAATTCACCACGGCCTGAAAAACAGAAAAGACAAGGGATAACTCTGACCAGCATTTTGTTGGTTTTCGTGTTGGTGCAGCTCATGAAGAATTCGGTTCTGAACAAATTCAAGCAACACATGGAACAAAGCTCAAAAATCAGATTTGCCCAACGGGTGCTGTACGAGGGCAGCTACAAGCCATGGCAGACGATTCCACTAACTCAGATCAGCTCTGCTTATCCTGGAGGATGACTAGAGGTGGGGGTGAAGTTACGGTTTAAATCCATCCAGAGATAAGCAAAAATAATAATAATAATAATGCCGATTGTGACAAAACGGCACACCAACAAACGTAAAAACTTGGCTTCAAGAACAAAAATAAGGAAATGAACAGAACGCGTTAACGTTAAGTGATATCAAGAGAAAACCATGGCTGGCAGCTATTTTTTAATCCTATTAAAGCACTGAAAACATGAAATGCTACAAAATTATTTTGTAAGAAGCTTCTAGATGTTTGAAAAGTTTGGTTGAACGATCTGGTCAACAGCAATTATGGGAAGAATTATTCCTGCAAACAAACATACAGGAATTCTCAATGCTGTGTTCTTTTTTTCCTTAGCACAACTTTAGCCCACAGTGGGAGAAAGCAATTTATAGCATGATGTAAATTCTTAATTCTAAAATTATTTCTTCTCAAATGACCTTCACAAGAAGGACTCCTCCTCTTCCACTGGCCATGGCAATTTTGAAAGCGCAGACGACTCCTGGCTCCTAGTGTTTATCTAATTATAATTTTGTCGTACTCACACTTCGAACAAATGGCGCAAGGGCCACGATGTTTGCCAACACAGTCCCGTATCTATGGTGACAACGCTATCAGCAATTTACCTGCAACTCAATTGAGGTTGACGTTAACGAGTTGTTCATTTCGCTGAAGCTATCCAGTGCTGCAGAATGTACTTCAATTTGGTTTTCCAATGAACTCTGTTGAGCACCTGATACCTGGCAAGGTATAAACAAGATTTTCCTCTTCAGTGCAAGGTAGGAGGAACTGCAAATTTAGAAGGGATTTGGCTTGCTCTGAAGTTATGTGGCTATACAATATGTTTCGTGGGCACCTGAAAGAACGGGCTGATTTATGAGTCCCTTTAGCATGGACAGAAACAAGATGCCCAGAAAAAAACAGAAAAAGAACTACCAGGTAATAGTTAGCCATAAAATCCCAGCGCTAGTTAAAACAACAGGAGGGATCACATTTCTAGAGTGAAGAGCTGGCCCATCGTTGGTCTAGGTTGCAAAAATGGTCTACTGGCCAGAATCCCATTTCTATCTCTGCCAGCTTTGCCTCTTCTCCTGTGGCTAACTGATAAGGTGCTATAGCACCTCATCAATTAACTGCAGTGTGTTCCACCAACCTGCCACAAGCACCCATCAGCTTCTAGATTTTGGGTAATATATTTTGTCCTTCCAAACATGCTAAAAGTAAGGACTCATTAGAGCAGCCTGGAAGGGACGTCGTTATGAGGTAGACCAACTCCCCTCTCATTTCTTGATCAAATGCTGCAACAAAACAACACGTGTGTCAGTGTTTCATGGTCTCCAGAGAGCTGAAGGCAACCGGGATGCTTCCGCCTTCTCCTTCCGCCAGCCAACATGGCCTCCCCTGAAGCCTTTCTGCTATCAAAGCTACACAATACTTTGGGATTGTGAGGTTCTGCCAACAGCCAGAACTTTGCAGAATGCCAGGAAGTGTCAGCTCGTGAGGCCGAAAGTGGAAAGATCCTCTCTCCTTGAGACAACCGATTATAAGGCCACAATACCTATTGGGACATACCTTCGTTAGCACTGTCTCATATTAAAAAGGTGATTAAGTGCTCTGATTCACAATGCAGTCTGGGACGAAAGGCACACGTGTGTTCAATGAAAAAGAAAATACGGCCTTACACTGACGTCGCAGTTAGAAGAGGTCCATGCATGTTGCGAAAGAATACAGGTCAGGAAGGCAGACGGCCCACCCGGTGTCTTAAACAGGCCAAAGGATGGCTTGAAGAGTGGGCACAGAGAATAACGCAAGACCAGCAGAATCTCAACGAAGGGTAAAGCAGACTGCCCGCTAATTGCATATGTAATTAAAAGAGAAAAGAAAATTACAAATGAAAGGCCAAAGTAACACAACCATGCACATTAAGACGAAGGGGCAGGCGTGCAAGAACAAGGGAGATCTCCCCTTGGATGAAGCTCATGCGCGCTGGAGGCCAGTCCGGGAGAGTCTATATAAGGGAATTGCTCCATAACGTATTGGCTAACTAGCCAAGGCAGATGCAAAACCAGGCCAGGGCGTGGAGAGGGAGTGGCGCCCACAAACAGACCCAGGATGCAGAACACAAAGCGAAAGCACCAGCAATAGATAAACGAACTGCGGAGGAAGAGAAGAACAAAGAAAACTGATGAGGGAGGAAGAATGTGCCGATTCATCTGAGTTTCCCAAATAAGCTAATAAAAGGGCGGGCGATGAAACACAACAAGCTGGAGAATGCTACTTAAAGAAAGGCAGCACCTCTCTTCCGGAACATTATTTGTGCTCCATAAATGGAACCATTTCTGAGTTTCAGACCAAAAGTGCATTCAAGAGACATATGCATAAAAATGCTCCTTCGTCCCCTTTCAATGGCATCAGCAGCCTCAGAACATAACGGCATCAGCAGCTGTGTGTGTGTGTGCGCGTCATCCGCCAGGCACACAGGCCCTTACCACCAGTTCCTTTGTAAGCTCCTGGATTTTGCGTTTCATTTCATCATATTCTCCATACATTTTCTTCCTTACTTTTTCCAACGTTAATCTCACCTAAGAACAAAAAGAATGCATTTTAAGATTGCTCTGAATGCGGTGTAATAACAACAATAACTGTGTGCTGTCAAGTGGATTTCAACTTATAGGGAAACTTTTTATAGAGTTTTAACTAGGTAGAGAGTGCTCAGAAGTGGTTTGCCCTTCCCTTCTTCTGAGGGCATCCGAGCACTGTGCAGCTTGCCCAAGGCCACAACGGGCCGGCGCTACTCACAAGAGACACAGCGGGGAATAAAACTCCCAGCCCTCTGGCTCCACAGCCAGAGACCTAAGGCTGGAGAGCCCACTTCTTCTGATGCATGGCTACTGAGGCCGCACTCTGTGCACCAAAGGGCCTGGACTAGCGTCTCCGAAAGCTTCTGCGAATGAATCTTGCAACAGCTCTCAAATTCAGTCTCTACCACTTCAAGGAAGGTCTAAGAAGGACCCCGGCCCTCAACGTGGGAGAACGACTGTCAGTAGATCAGGGTCTAACCACTTCAAGGAAGGTCTAAAAAGGTCCCTGGCCCTCAACACCGGAGAACGACTGTCAGTAGATCAGGGTCTAATGAGTATGGACATCTCTGGGTAATTCATAGTAGATAAACAAGGGCTTCTAATTGTCTAAGCACTGCAGTCCATAACTGGAGAAGGAAGGGAGAGGAAAGGGAGGCACAGGGCAAGAAGCTTATTTACAAATGTAAGGAAGGTCTAAAAAGGTCCCTGGCCCTCAACACCGGAGAACGACTGTCAGTAGATCAGGGTCTAATGAGTATGGACATCTCTGGGTAATTCATAGTAGATAAACAAGGGCTTCTAATTGTCTAAGCACTGCAGTCCATAACTGGAGAAGGAAGGGAGAGGAAAGGGAGGCACAGGGCAAGAAGCTTATTTACAAATGTATGCCAAGAAGAAGAAGATGAAGAAGAGAAACATAACTCACATCTCTTATATATTTCATTTCTTCTCTCAGCTGGTGAGTTGACCACCCATAAACCACCATTTCTTTGTTATGATTGTCATCGGACCTGTGCACCACACCGTACACCACACCACCTGGCAAGTCTCCTGAAGACAATCCATTGCGGACATGGTAGAGTTGCTAGATAAAAAATAAGAAGACGGTAAGGCAAAGGTAGATGTACCTTATTCTATGACCACGATTGACCCCTCTGGATTTTACCTCACCTTCCCATCCAGAAGGATTCCCAAGACGGCTCAGAAATGATCAGGCAAAACCTAAGTGGATTACTGCTGCTTCTAACTCATTTTGACACACCGTCTTTAATATAAGGCTTGGTATCTTTTAAGCTAAATAAGTAAATAAATGTAATTGCAACATAGAGGTTGTTTGTCAAAACCACTCCAAACTTCAACATGCAGTTGAAAACTTGTAGCAGCCAACAAGCCACAAGGACTGGGTGGCATCCACAGGGAATGCCATAAAAATGAAGCGCTGCTCCTCTGTCTCGAGAACCGTACATTTCTTCAAACCCCCTGCCAAGATTGGCTTTCAGACACAAAGGAGTCTGTCCCAACGCATGTTACTAAACAGGATAAATGAGCATCTCAATCATCGCCACTCATGTCATAACACATATCTGTAGTCAGAGTGTTACCTAACCAATTACTGACATGTCACCAAAGAAAACAAGACCCGTTGTTTTGTTAAAATTGAGAAAAAGCAAACAGGCTGAATATGAACTGGGTGTGGTGCCAGATTGAAAGACAGTTTTTTACCTCTCCTGGGTTAAATATTTCCTTGGCTGGTTTCAGATCAACCACACCCCTACGTGCTTATTCATACCTGAGCATTCAAGGATACCTTTTGCCAAATGCCAAAAGTGCAAAGTGATTTGAGCAAGGAATAACTGCTTCAGAAGGAGGCCCTCTTCACAATGACCTGCCCGCCGGGGGCACAGAACAAGCTGTCCTGGCCTTCTTCGAGGGCTGCGTTCTGCATACTCAAGATGCTCGGTCACAAAGCCACCTCCGTACGTCTATCCCTGCTCTCTGCATCCTGTTTTTCAGGCAGGAACCGGTGTCTCTCCCCTCCCCCCCAAAGGACCTGCTGCTCAGTCTTCTCAGAAGCCACGAGGGGCAAGGGGCCCTGGACTTCCAAGACTGTGTGACGATGCCCGTGAGAACTTTTGTTCCAACTGATCCAAACAAGGTTCACCCGCCGGTTGTTGCTCTGTGTCATTAAGGTGGGGACTCGAACACTGGTTTTGACTGGAAGGGAAGATAGTCACAAAGCCACCTCCATACGTCTATCCCTGCTCTCTGCTTCCTGTTTTTCAGGCAGGAACTGGTGCTTCCCCCCCCCCCCAAAGGACCTGCTGCTCAGTCTTCTCGGAAGCCACGAGGGGCGAGGGGCCCTGGCCTTCCAAGAACGTGTGACGATGCCCGTGAGAACTTTTGTTCCGACTGATCCAAACAAGGTTCACCCGCCGGTTGTTGTTCTGTGCCATTAAGGTGGGGACTCGAACACTGGTTTTGACTGGAAGGGAAGATGCACACAAACACCGCTAACCGGCCCCCACGCACCTTCACAAGGGCTGCTTGGTGCCTCCAGCGGCAGCTTGGACAAAAAAACCCAACAACTGTAAAAGCCTTGCTCTATGCCGCGCACACAAACACGCTAACCGGCCCCCATGCATCTTCACAAGGGCTGCTCGGTGCCTCCAGCGGCAGCTTGGACAAAAACAACAACAACTGTAAAAGCCTTGCTCTATGCCGACAAACAAACGACTTTCCAATCAGGCATAATAGCCATTTTTGTTTTCCAAAGCAACCCTCAAACGTTAATGCTCCCTTTCAGGACAGGGATAAAGGAATAATATGCTTCCAGTATGCTCTGCTATGCCCAGGTTGCGACACTCCATTTTTTCTAGTCATGGGAGCTGCTATGCAAGGTGCACAGAGATACGTACATGATTGATTCTTCAAATCTCCAGGGCGTCAGGACTTTGATCGCTGTGCCCACACACCCGTTTTTAATGCCGATGCCTCCCATTTTTATAGGCAAAGAGGACGGAGCAGCAAAATTTTTAATGCCGATTTTATAGGCAAAGAGGACGGAGCAGCAAACAAAAGGAGTGCTCCATCGCGTCTAGTTTGCCCTAGCCCGATTTCGAGCGACCTTTTGCCCACTTGGCCATGGCGAGCCGGAACCACCTCCAGGCGACCAGGCGAGGGAATCTGTGCGACCTGGAGACAGGGTTGCCTCTTTTCCCTCTTTGAACAACAGAGACGTTTGGAGACGCGTCCTTTCCCACGCTTAGACCAGGGGCTCCTGCCTTCCTACTACAAGCGCGGGCAGGATGAGCGCAGGGCGGCTAAAGAGAATGCCCTCTGTAAGAGAAAGTTCGTACAAGGGCGGTTTGGCAGGATAAACCAATTGCTGCCCCGGGAGCACCGGCCGGACCCTGGGACCTCCAAAGTACGGTATCCAGCCCCGATTCAGAAGGCACCCTGACAACGAGGAGCCCTTGTCCACCAGCCTTCCCTCACCGTGAAGGCCACCCCGGGTGAGGGGGGCCACACGTGAGCCAGGCCCACACAGGCACCAGCCCTCCATCTTGCTCCCTCTCCTTCTCTAGGGAACTCAAAGAGTGCATTGAAATTCACAAATGGGACCTGCGGGAAGGGGGCTCATCTCCCTCACGTTCCCTGACTCCGTTTCCCCCGCTGACTTTCCGCCGACCAAAAGAGCAGGCAGCTAACCTACAGGCAGATCGTTTGTAGAAGGATCTAAATTAGGAAAGCACCACAGGGCCTGTAGCACACCGAGGCCTCGGTCCTGCTACCTTCACCGGTGCATTTTGGTGAGAGACACAGGAGAGAGCCTTCTCTGTGGCTGCTCCTCCCAGACTCTGGAACTCCCTCCCACTGGAGGCCAGACTGGCCTCGTCTTGGCTGTCCTTCCACAAGCCGACCAAGACCTTTCTCTTCAGGCGGGCTTTCCCTTAACGACTGGTGGTCTGAGAAGGGTTTCTAAATGGATGGTTGTGCCTTAACTGTGTTGAATGTGTGTTTGGTGTTGCTTTTTTTGCTGCCACTTAGTGTGGTGTCTGATTTTTAAAAGTATTTTTGCACTGTTTTTAGCTTTAAATGTTGTCTTTTAAGGATGTAAGCTGCCTCGGGTCCTTTTTAAGGAGAAAGATAGGGTAAAAATATTTTAAATACATAAATGATAAAATAGTGGTGCTGAGAAAGTCAGACATTTCTGACTGGAGATTTCTGCTACTGTAGTAATATGGAGCCAAATCATCAACGTTCAGGAGACCGCCGTTAAATGGGTCAGGGCACCCCAAAGATGCAGAGCCCTTCTGTCTAATAACACGGCACTAGACTTTGCGGAAATTAGTTCTGCACCCTCACGGGAAAAGGAACTCGGGGCTTTGTTGCTTTTGATGAAGTTTTGGACAATGTTTCTGGCCAACATAGCTGCTACTCATAAAGGTATTTTGGAATATAATGGCAGGGCTGGGGCACCGGCCGGCTTCCCCTGGATGGCCAAGGAAATGGCATGGATAGGGAAGTTGTTCCTTAGGATGAACTCTTTATTTTGTGGCTTAAGATGTATTTACACTGCTATTTTTAGTTTTTGTTAGCTATGTCGAATGGCTCATGCTATTTAGAAAAGAAGGCCTTAATCAGCAGCACTATATAAACGATAATACTTCACACGTATACCCTGCGGATTAAAGACTGCAAGACAAGACACACATATTTGGTCATCTTCTTCACAATAGCCCTAGAGGGTAAGATTGCACCGTTATCTCCATTTTGCAAACCAGGCGTTGATTGTGAGACAATAGCTTCCTAAAGCCGCCCATGGATTCATGGTTAGAGTGAGATTTGACTGGAGGATCTCACTTCACATTTTTATGGCAGACGTGGTGCTTCTATCCTATTAACAAGATCTAGCAAGGCAGTGGTATCGAAACGTATTGGGCTAAATCCCGCGTCAGTGTAAGTCTCTTCTCCCGAAGGAGGAGAGGGCAGCTCAGGAAGTAAAGTCCTTGTTCAAGCTTCTTCCCCGTTACCTTCAGAGCACCCACATCAATCCCCGCAAGGCCTCCCCTCCCCAAGCCTGCTATTGTATCCTGATTATCCGAAGCTCCTGCTTTCCTGTCCTAACAGACTTATTCTATCACTCTTCTTTCCTAAGTCCTAAACAAAGAAGGCAGGCAGTTTTGCAATTAGCACAATAGCTCATTATTAGAGGTGTGTCTTGAAAGAGGCCCAGTTTGCAAAAACCAACATGCCAGCAGAGCTAGCTGGTTCTTCCCAACGTCTAGCCACCAAACAAAAGGAATCTAATTTATATCTTGCAAAGCTGTAAAGGACATTAAAGGCTAAACACACCTCCTTTACTGTTTAAATCAGCCACATTTCTAATTGTGAAGATTATTTGCTTGTCTGTTTTGGTCTCCATCTCTCTGTCTTTCTCAGACACGTATCACACACACACCCCCGACCACAGTATTTCAAAGGCCAAACTGATGATATGTATGCTTAAAAAACATGTTTAAAAGCACACACATTTCTTTTAAAGGGGAAAAAAATCAGGTCCCCAACCTCAGCTTACTCCCAAACTGGATCAGGAATCTGTACCAGTTTTCTCTCTGAAAATCTACTTCTTTTGGCTATTTGTTCCTAAATGTGTTGTTATAATAAACAGCATCTTAAGGAATAACTTTGTGTGTGAAAGAAAACCAACGCATGGCCCTAATTCTGACTTGGAGCACATTCTCTAGATAAAGGCCCAATATCTGCATTTCCTTCAACAGGAAAGAGGTCAGTTAAACCACGTGTGGATAACCGAATACTCAGTCTGAGCTTCATTTTCTCCTCAAAAGTACGATCTTTCAATAGGACAAATTCAGCCACAATAAATAGGTCCAATAAATAGGTCTCAAGCCTCTCCCTGACATACACCCAAAAGATGTACATGATTTTTATTTTTGATAGCATCTTCTAATTTTACGTATTTCTATGGCTGTGAGTTGTGTATCACAACAGGGGTGTAGCCAAGGCGGCGAACGACGGTTAGCTCTCTAGGTCTGCAAAAGCTCTCTAGCTCACCTTCTTGGTTTTTTCAGGCTTGCTTTTTCCTTCCGGAGAAAGTGGGCTTTCCTCTGGTGGGAGAGTTAAGCGTAGCCGGCAAACATTTGCCTGAAAGAAAAAGGACATTTGGCTTTCAGTCTATTAAGAACATTCCATTCTGTGTGAAAAGAACATAAAAGATACTTTCTAACAGATAGTTCCTTTAATTCATTCAGGGTGCAAGAAAAACAGAAGTGCAGAAATCAAGGTCAACTTTGTAACAGAAATGACTATTTTTGAAAGACAACAAGGGAGCAAAAGAAAGGCTTGTTAAAGCAACAGGCAACACTTTTCTTCAGAAGTCATTTCCCGAAAAAGAGAATTATTTCTACGGACATATTATCATGCAGCAACAAGCATTTGCGAGCCAACCAATAAAAAGAAGCGACAACATGACAAAGTCATTGTTAAGAGGTAGGAACAACAACACAATGCTGGCAGCAAGACTGAAACTTTCTTGTTTTGGAAAATTTTGCAAGCACTCTGAAATACCTAATATGCTTATTTTTGTTCCCCCAATAGAAACTAATAGGCTGTGGTCACACCAACAAAATGTCTCCCTATGGTTACGTGTTCCTGTTGTGCTGAGCAGTCATGTTTTCTTTTTAATTCCAGGATGTGCACCCCAATATGTTCTTGGGTTACTGAGTCATTTCCTTCCAATTCAATAAGCTTCTTGTTGACACCATTTGACAGAAGTTAATGGACACCTTGACACAAATGCCGCAGAAAATGTTAAAAAAAATTCAAAACAGTTTAAAAGGACATGCACAGTGACAGTAGTTCAAAAGAGTTGTGATAAGACTGTTCACACATGCAGCAAAGCAACATTTTTTTTTAAAAAAAATGCAATTAAAAAAATAGAAGCCTCTGGCCAAGTTAGCATGCTGGCCTGGTAAAGGATTCGCTAATGGCCGTGCGTCATGTGACCACAAATTTACGATACAAACTCAATGGGGGATAAGAAGGCAACATTTGGCTTGTGTAATTGTGGCTCAAAATAAACTGGGAGCAAATTTTGGGGTTTTAAACATAACATTTTTCTGTTACAGGCAGTGGGAAATACTACGTTGACGTTTTCTGGGTCCTAACCTAAGCCATGTCTTGTCTGACGTACTTCTTTATTGCATGAAGCAAAGGTTCATTCACATTCCACCATGATTTCCTCTAGAATTGGACCTCTGAATGACACTTTGACAGACAGACAGCGTTTGCAAAACAGAAGACTCAGTCCCTCTGCACAAGCAGAACTTTATCAGGTGATCTCAGTCTTCTGTCCCCTAAAGCATGCAAAGCATGTGCACCCGGGTTGGATAAAAGCCCACGTTGTTGCCAAACTAGAGGAAAAGCTATTTAAGGAAGGGCGACTTTACCGGCAGCTGCTTTCTCTATAAGACCTACCAGAGTTTTTGACACAGCAGCGTTAAAAGAGCTGCCGAGATCCTAATCTTAATCATAAGGCATTTCAAACATAATATACACATTTGAACTAATGTCTGGGAGAGATAATCCTCATTACAGGTGTGCAGATTGAATCTTTTTTAAGACAACAGCCCACAGAATTTCCTAGGCAATTATGCCATGTGTGTGGAATTCTGAGAGTTGCAATTGTAAAAACCACACACACTTCTAATTCTGAGCATCGGACGTTGCAGCAAACCCAGCCTTGATACTCATTTCTTTAGTTTTTTTCCACCCAGACATTAAGCCCTGGCAAATCCACGTTTATCTCTGAAAGCATATTTCAAAGAGTCTCACCCAAAGAGAGAGAGTCCTTAACACTTATGTAAGATAGTGCTTATTTTCCAAACAGAAGTTTGCCCCACTTGTTCCTACTTCAAACGTCTCTGGGGCACAGCTCTTATCGAAGCTCAGCAAAAGGGCAGAATTGTTTCCAACTGAACCGAAAACAATGCAAAGCTGGGAACTCCCTCCTTCTACTCCAGGAAAAGTATTGCTTCTAGAACAAAGCTCGTGGGTTTAAGGAAATTTAATAAAAATATATACTCAGGCAAAAATGCATTTAAAGACAAAGGAAGATTGTGATATGACCTAAAAGCAATGGGGGGGGTGGGGGGGGGGCGGCAAGAAGACTTCAAGACCTGGTTGGCCACTTTGGAGCAGAAAGAAGGCTGGGCTCAAAGTCCTTCGTGACCGATCCAACTTCAAAGGTCTTCTTAGAGAAATTATAAGATTTAGGTCTGTCAGGGTCAAAACTAGGAAAGATGCTCAGATTGCACACAGGTGTGGCACTCCATGAACTAATAAAAGATGCTTTGCTTTCATGAATCGGAAGGTTCCTTTCTTTGGAAAGAATACCTTTCATTTCTACCCCACTCTGAGCCTCAGCGTAAGATCTCTCTCACATACACAGCGATGGTGGGAATAATATATTGAGCAATGCTGAGGTTTTTGGTGAGATTCTGGGAAGCAAGTTTAGGGAGAAACTCTAGCGTTGCTTCCTCAAAGCACCCCCCCCACCCCATGCTCAGCCCTCCTCACTGGCCACAAGGTCCCACAAAGTGGAAAGCAAAGAGTTAAAAAACAGGACAGGACCCGTTTTGAAAACAAAAATGGCATAGAGAACATTCCAGTTTGGGCAGTGTGTGTGGACACCTCAAGACCAAAGGGAACCCACCTGGCTTCTCTGGGGAGGGAGGTGCCCCACAGAGGTGCCCCAGAAGGGAAAGCTTTCGCTCTTGGGCTCCCCAAACGGGTCGTGTCATTTTCTTTCTTTCTTTTTTTTTAAAGAAGCCACCATGCCAGGTTTATAGAGCAGCAGGACTGTCCACTTACACCCTCCAATGCATGAGGATTAAAGACAAAGAACTGTACTTTAAGGGTGTTGCATTAAGCAAAAGAGAGAGGGAGAAAGATGAGGCTATAGCGAGCGTTATGTATTCTCTACCCAGCCGTCCGCTCCGTTATGTTCATGATTGCACCCAAATAATGGGCAAGAGAGGATGGAGTCCACGGGAGAGATTCCCACCACAGTTCTGGCCTCGGAGGCAGAGCCGTTTGGCCCAGCGGCTCAGGAATCTTCAGGGCTGAGCTGGGACTTCGACTCGGCCTCCTCCTCCGTTCTCCTGCCCTTCCTCTTGGCCCTCCCTGGCCTCAGCTCTGCAGGCACCAAGGGACCGATGGAGCCATCCCGTCTGAACCAGCCGGCCCAGCAGCCTCCTGAGAGAGACACCAATGACGAAGCAGCCTGGAAGGCCTGACTCGGCATCCTCCGAGACACCGCGTGGGATCAGGTGGCACACCTCTCAGGCTACCCAGGACATCTGCAACAGGCCTCGAACGGGCATTTGGCCCCACTTCCCATCAGCAAGCGAGATGTTGTCCAGCGCAAGTCTTTGAAGAACTCAACAACGACGAGGCACCAACACGTTTTAAGGAGGCTGAGCTTAACCCCTCGAACCCCTACCCAAAAAGGCACCCCATTGCCGAGGGAGGCGGCACCCAGAGGCTGGGGGTGCCTGCTGGGGGGGTGCAGTTGAGCCCCCTCTTTCTTGCCTTCTCTTGGAAGGCCAGTTGAGGCCTCCTGCCATCTGGCCGGCTTCGGACGGGGACCCCGGTCTCCCTCCGGCCAGAGGCAGCCTTTGATCTCCTCCCACCCCAATTTCTTCAGTTTGCCAAGATGGTGCTTTTATTTTCTCCAACCCTTTTGCTTTCACACCCATGTTTTGTAGCTTTCCTTCTTTTCCGCTTTTGCTGCTAGCATAAAGTGGAATGCCCATTCCTCCAAATAAACAAATAAAGACCTGAAAGAAAATGGGTAAAGGAAAACGGTTCTGGCCCTCCCAGAAAGCCAGCATCTTCAAGGGGAATCCCACGAAATAGATGGGCAGCAGAATCAGGAGGAGGCACAGAGAGGAATTCGTCATGACCACCATCGATGGGGTTGGGCGACCTTTAGAGCAACCCTGTCTGTGAAGGAGGGCAGGCAGGCAGGCAGGCAGGCGGCGGCCCACCGGGATGGCTGGGAGCGTCACCGGGATTTGAACCCTTGATCTGCTCCACCACCGCCCGGATGCAACAGCCAACCCAGGAGCCCTTTCCGGAGGAGACCCTTGGCGTCGAGGTGGGGTGGGGGTGGGGGGTCACCCACAAAGCCGTCCAGGCGCCCAGCCGGCCTGAAACCCCCCCCCAGCCCAAACCTTCGGGGGCGCTTCCGGCCACTCTGGCTTGCGGGAGCCTCCCATCCTTCTCCTAAGGAGTAGGACCAGGGCTTTCCACCGGCT